AAGAAAAAATCTCTAATATATTATACGAGAAAGAGAGATAATTATCAATGAAAACAAACTTACCACCATATAACTTCCAACCATATTCTTTCCAATTCCAAATGCCATCCAACTAATTCAAACAATTAATTATTGACTTTACTTAATATATGAAAAGTATATAATATTGTTATGAATATGGATATGAACGTGAACATGAATACGTTAAGTGTTACATATTGCTTACCCAACCGTTGACGGTGCTTCCATACGAAATGACGCATAAATTTTTCCTGGCTCAAAGTAAACATTAGGAATTGATACCGTCAAACAAAATTGAGATTCTATATCACAATTCATTTTTTGTGTAAAAGCACCTACGTGTTTTGATTTTTTTTGAAATTATCATTAATACTTTTGAAAATATGATATATAATAAAATATATATATAATTATATATATAAGATAGTATGTATATATATATGATTGTATATATATGATTATATATATGTGTGTGTGTGTGTGTGTGATTGTATATAAGATTGTATATATGTATATTTAGAGGATTCTATGTATTTAGATGGTTATAAAGATTATATATTATATTAATATGTGATGGATATGTAAATTTTTTTTTAAAAAAAAAGGGAAAAAAAAAAGGAAAAAGTATCATATATTTATTGATTTTAGAGACTTTGATCTACTACTAATAAACAATATAAAATAATAAATAACCAGACCAGTACTGAGTCACTTATACAAGATACTATGTAATATAAACAATATGTAAATAAATATAAAACAATATGTAAATAAATAATAAACAAATTAATTAATTAATTAATTAATTATTGAAATTAACACTGGTACTATTGTAGTTTTTATGTTTCTTAAGTAAAAAAAAAAAACGAACATCAATTAAACGTTCTGATTTGCTGAAGCCGTTATCATCAGAAAAATTATATAGATAGAATCTTGGCGAGAGGAGCTAATCAATTTGAGAACTATCTGCAATTGCAATATATAAATGCCGCCACCCACATGAAAAAAATAAAACAATATTAGACGGTCACTCTTTTGGAAATTTTGCTATTGTTCAAGCGAGTGAGTCAATGGTTTAATAATAAAATAGAGGTCATTTACTATCGCTGTTCTATGTTTTTAAATCGTCAATTTATTGGTGATAAATAATAGATATGAATAATAAATAATAATAATAAATAAACCCATTTTCACAGATTATAAGAATTTAATTTTTCCTTTTTACAAAAAAAAAATAAAAAAAATAAAAAAAATTCAAACAAATCTTATAGATATGAAAAAAATTGCATCAACAACGACGACGACAACGACGACGAAAACGACAACAACAACAACATCAACTACAACGACATCATCATCATCATCATCATCATCATCATCATCATCAACAACAACAACACCATCTTCAGCATCATCTTCAGTCATTACTACACAAAATCATGAATGCTGTGGTGGTGGAGCAGGAGACAACCAAAACTCTCATATTGACGAAGGTTTTATTGGAGGAATCAAGTTTGATAATGAACCGTCTCAATCAATTATAATTCATTGTTGTAACTGTTGTGTTATAGAAGCAGATGGGTGGTGTAATTGTTGTCGTGGAAGAAATAGATAGATTTTTTTTTTTTTAAAAAATAAATAATTAATTAATTTATATAGTAAATTTAGCAAAACATGCATAGGGGCAAGAAAGACAAGAAAGACCAAAAAGACCAAGTAGATTCTTGATAAAATATTTAACATTTTTCTACTTGCCCGTTTTGCTAAAAGTAGCTCTCCCCCTCCGAATAAGAGTAATTGTATGATTTTTTGATTTTTTAATTTTTAATATCTATATATTAATTAATTCATTCATTCATTCATTATTTAATTATTATCCATTTATTCATATATTTATTTATATATCTATTTATATATCTATAATATCTAATAATACTTTAGTAATAAATTTAAACTACACGAAATAGATTATT